CCTGGGCCGCCCGGCCGGAGGCGAGTGGCGGGCGGGCGAGCTGCGTCTGGCGGCAGATGGAGGCGGCATTAGATGCGCAAAGGCGTGGGAACCCTCCCGTGAGCTGCGCGTGTGCGGGGTCTAGGTTGCTCCTCCTGAGAATCTAGTGTCTGATGATCACACTCCCACGCCCCTCCCTCCCCCGCCCCTGTACGTGGAAAAATTCTCTTCCATGAAACCGGTGCCTAATGTCCAAAGGTTGGGCACTGCCGCTTTAGATCGTCCAGTGAATTTAGAAGGTACTGTATGATTCTCAGCCCTCTCCTTGCTTTGGAGTTGCAGAGCACTGGTATATTAAAGGCTCTGAGAAGTCCTGCACGAAAGAAACCTGCTTATCTTTGTTTAACACAGAACTTCCGAAACGTGTTTGTCTTTGGAGTATCTTCTCCTAGCCCGTAACACCCGTTGATATCCCACGTAGACCCCTTTGGGATACTCAACCTATCAGGAGGGGGTGCGGATGGCACTTTTCCTTCCCTGTGTCCCCGCTGCCTTTTTCCTCTTTTTTCCTTTGTCTGGAGGAGGGAGCATGTCCATTATCTGATTTTTAAAAAAAGTCTACTTCTGTGTTCTTGTTCTTTTCTTTTCTCTTTTTGAGTTGGAGTCTCTCTCCATCGCCCAGACTAGAGTACAGTGGCCGCTCCCAGCCACCGCAGCCTCGACCTGCTGGGCTCCGGCGATCCTTCCGCCTCAGCCTTCCGAGTAGCTGGAACTACAGGCGCGCACTACCACGCCCGGCTGATTTTTTATTGTTATTGTAGAGATGAGGTCTCGCCAAGTTGCCCAGGTGGGTCTCGAACCCGCGGGCTCAGGCAATCCACTCACCTCAGCCTCCCCAAGCGCGGGATTACAGGCTGAGCCACCGAGCCTGGCTGTGTTCTTTTTCTTACGCTCACGATGAGTTTCGGAGGAATAGGAGGCAGCCTGCCTGTTGTGGTCAGTGTGTGGGGGAGTGACCTAGGCTGGAGAGGCTGGAAGGAAGGGGCTGGGGTCTGGATGAGAGGTTGGGGTGTTTGCAAAGCAGCCTCTTGGCAAGGGGGGCAAGTGTCAGTCCCGGACATGCCCCTTCCTGGCTGCTCAGGAGCGGGAAGGTGAGGCTGTCAGCTGCCTGGAGACTAGAGCATGGCCCTCTGCTTGCAGGTGAAGGAAGAGTGCCGCTTGCTTAACGCCCCGCCTGTGCCTCCCCGGGGTGGCAGCGCCTGTGGCCGGCTCTCAGGCAGCCCCCCGGTTCCCCCTCGCTTCCCCAAGCTGCAGCCTGTCCACTCCCCCAGCTCCAGCCTCTCCTACTACTCCTCTGGCCTCCAGGATGGGTGAGCCCTTCCTTCTCTGGGTCCTAGGTTCTCCTGGGGGGGATGTGGGCGGTTGAGGCTGGGAGGGTGGGCAGGGGCTTGCAGTGCGGAAGGGGGGGACGGCTTCAGGCCCTGGAGGTTCCAAGGGTGCAGTTCCTATGTGGCAGCCGAGAGAGAGGCTACTGCTGGCCAACGTCATGGGGCCTGGGTCCCAGGGGCCTGCCGTGCACGCCTCCTGCTTCAGCGAGTGTCTTTCCTGTGACGAGGGTCGGTGGCAGCGTTGCTCTCGTTTCCCCCACACTGGGGTTCTGCCCTGGGAGACAGTGCTCCTTGCTAAGTTTTTTTTTTCTTTGGAGTTGGAGTCTCATTTGGTCACCCAGGCCAGAGTGCAGTGGTAGGCATGCTCACGGCCACCTCAGCATCAGCCTGCTGGGCTCCAGCGATCCTTCCACCTCAGCCCTCTAAGTAGCCGGAGCTACAGGCGCATGCTACCACTCCCGGCTAATTTTTTGAATTATTGTAGAGACAAGGTCTCACCACGTTGCCCTGGCTGGTCTTGAACTCATGGTCTCAGGCAATCCTCTCTCTTTGGCTCCCCAAAGTGCTAGGATTACAGGCTGAGCCACTGAGCCCGGCCCTAGGTTGTTTTAAATTCAGTTTAGTGTAATTCTTTTCTTTTTTTTTTGAGTTGGAATCTCACTCTGTCGCCCAGACTGGAGTGCAGTGACCACTCCCGGCCACCGCAGCCTCGACC